TTGGGGAATTTTGGGTGGAATTTTTGGAATTTTGGGGATTTCAGGGAAATATTGGAAATTGGGATTTCGGGGGTCAATTTGGGGCAGAATTTGGGGCAGAACTTGGGGGGAATTTTGGGAATTTGGGGTGAACATTGGGAATTTCGGGCGAACGTTGGGAATTGGTGAATTTTGGGGTGAATTTTGGGGTGAATTCGGGGGATTTGGGGGCTGATCCCGTCCCCCCCCAGCTGCGGGCGCGGTGCCCTGGGGGGTCCTGGCCGAGACCTCGCGGCTGTTCCGGGAGCTGGGCCCCGCCCTCCTGCGAGGTGCGTGTCCCCCAAAAACCCCACTTCCGGTTCACTTCCGGGTTCTGCTGCCTGCTTCCGGTCCTCTCCTTTCCCTCCCATGCCACTTCCGGGTGTTTTTGTCTTTCCCTGTGTTGTGATGGAGTCACTTCCGGTTCACTTCCGGGTTCTGCTGCCTGCTTCCGGTTCTCTCCTTTCCCTCCCGAGCCACTTCCGGGTTTTTTTCGTTTCCCTGTGTTGTGATGGAGTCACTTCCGGTTCACTTCCGGGTTGGGGTTTAGGGGGGTTTTGAGGGGGGGATTTTGGGTGGGATTGGGAATTTTGGGGAATTTTGGGTGGAATTTTCTGGAATTTGGGGCAATTTGGGGAATTCTGGTGTCATTTGGGGGGATTTGGAGGAAAATCTGGAATTTGGGGAATTTCAAGGGGGAATTTGTGGAATTTTGGACAATTTTGGGAAATTTTGGGGAATTCTGGCGGGAATTTTCTGGAATTTGGGATAATTCCGGGCAAATTTGGGGGAATTTGGGGAATTCTGGAGGAATTTGGGGAGAATTTTCAGGAATTTGGGAGAATTTTGGGTGAATTTTGGGGATTTTGGGGGAATTTAGGGGAATTCTGGGTGGAATTTTCTGGAATTTGGGAGAATTTGGAGGAATTTGGGGAAAATTGGGGAGTTCCAGTTGAATTTGCACAATTTTGGTAAATTTTGGGAAATTCTGGTGGAATTTGGGGGGGGATTTGTGGAATTTTGGGGAAATTTTGGGGAATTTGGGGTAATTTTAGTGAAATCTGTGGAATTTTGGGAAATTTTGGGTAAAATTTTCTAAAATTTGGGGAAATTTGGGTGGAATTTTGGGAAATTCAGGATTTTGGAGTAAATATTTGGAATTTCTGGAATTTTGGGGAAATATTGGAAATTTTGGGAATATGGGGTGAATTTGGGGAATTTTGGGTGGAATTTTGAGAATTTGGGGCAGAATTTTGGGTGGAATTTTGAGAATTTGGGGCAGAATTTGGGGGAATTTTGGGAAATTCAGGATTTTGGGGTGAATATTGGGGATTTTGGGAATTCTGGTGGAATTTGGGGTGGCTTTTGGGGGGAATTTCGTGATTTTGGGGAGGATTTTGGTGGAAATATCAGGGATTTTTGGGGGGAAAAATGTGGGAAATTTTGTGTGGAATTTTGGGTCAGAATTTGGGGGAATTCTGGTGAAAACTGAAAATTTGGGTGGAATTTTCTGCAATTTGGGGGAATCTTGGGTGAATTCTGTGGGATTTCGGGTGGAATTTTGGGAAGCTGGGGGCAATTTTGGGCGGAGTTTCCTGAAATTCAGGTGGGGGTTTTTTTGGGGCAAATTTTATTGTATTTGTGCCACTTCCGGCGCCACTTCCGGCGCCACTTCCGGGTTGGGTCCCAGCGTGAGGGCGCCCCCTGCAGGACTGGAGGCCGCGGGCTGGGACACGCAGCGCCCCCTGCTGGCCGCCGACGATTGGAGCCTGGAGTGGGCGGGGCCAGCGCCGGGCCACGCCCCCGAGTGAGGCCACGCCCCCTTCCCCAAAAAGGGCGGGAAACGCACCGGGAAATAAAAAATTTTACCGAATTTTGGTGGAATTTTGGGTTTTTGGGGAATTTTGGGGAAATTGGGAAATTCCGGGAGGGTTTGGGGGAATTTTGGGAGGATTTTGGGTGGATTTCAGAGATTTTGGGGGGATTTTGGGTGGATTTGGGAAAATATTTGGAATTTTGGGGAAATTGGAAATTCCGGGAACATTTGGGGGAATTTTGGGAGGATTTTGGGTGGATTTGGGGAAATTTTGGGAGAATTTTGGGTGGGTTTGGGAGAATTTTGGGTGGATTTGGGGAAATTTTGGGAGAATTTTGGGTGGATTTGGGGAAATAGTTGGAATTTTGGGGGATTTGGGGGAAATTGGAAATTCCGGGAGGGTTTGGGGGAATTTTGGGAGGATTTTGGGTGGATTTGGGGAAATTTGGGGAGAATTTTGGGTGGATTTGGGAAAATATTTGGAATTTCGGGGGATTTTGGGGAAATTGGAAATTCCGGGAACATTTGGGGGAATTTTGGGAGGATTTTGGGTGGGTTTGGGAGATTTTGGGTGGATTTGAGAGATTTTGGGTGGATTTGGGGAAATTGGGAAATTCTGGGAGGGTTTGGGGGAATTTTGGGAGGATTTTGGGTGGATTTGGGAAAATATTTGGAATTTTGGGGGATTTTGGTGGATTTTTGGGAAATTGGAAATTCCGGGAACATTTGGGGAAATTTTGGGAGAATTTTGGGTGGATTTGGGAAAATATTTGGAATTTTGGGGGATTTTGGTGGATTTTGGGGAAATTGGAAATTCCGGGAACATTTGGGGGAATTTTGTGAGGATTTTGGGTGGGTTTGGGAGATTTTGGGAGAATTTTGGGTGGATTTGGGGAAATTGGGAAATTCCGGGAGGGTTTGGGGGAATTTTGGGAGGATTTTGGGTGGATTTGGGAGATTTTGGGAGAATTTTGGGTGGATTTGGGGAAATTTTGGGAGAATTTTGGGTGGATTTGGGAAAATATTTGGGATTTTGGGGGATTTTGGGGGATTTTGGGGAAATTGGAAATTCCGGGAACATTTGGGGGAATTTTGGGAGGATTTTGGGTGGGTTTGGGGGAATTTTGGGTGGATTTGGAGGAATTTTGGGAGAATTTTGGGTGGATTTGGGAAAATATTTGGAATTTTGGTGGATTTCGGGGGATTTTGGGGAAATTGGAAATTTCGGGAGGGTTTGAGGAAATTTTGGGTGGATTTGGGGAAATATTTCGAATTGTGGCGGAATTTTGGTGGATTTTGGGGAAACTGGGAAATTCCGGGAGGGTTTGAGGAAATTTTGGGAGAATTTTGGGTGGATTTGAGTGAATTTTGGGTGGGGTTTGGGAGATTTTTGGGAGAATTTTGGAGGAATTTTGGGTTGGTTTGGGGAATTTTGGGCACATTTGGGGGAAATATTTGGAATTTTGGCGGAATTTTGGTGGATTTTGGGGGAAATTGGGAGACTTGGTCCGATTTTGGGCTCATTTTGGGCTCATTTTTGGCCATTTCGGGGCATTTCCTGTTTTTCACATTTTTGGACATTTTTGGGTCAATTTTGAGGCATTTTGGGTCACTTTGAGCCAATTTTGGGTCATTTGGGGTCGATTTTGGGTCATTTCCATCCCATTTTTCAATTTTGGACATTTTTTGGTCGTTTTGAAACATTTTGGGTCAATTTTCGGCCATTATGGGGCATTTCCTGTTTTTCACATTTTTTTATATTTTTGGATCTATTTTGACACATTTTGGGTCACTTTGAGTGAATTTTTGGTCAATTTTGGGGCATTTTTAGGCATTTTTTTACTTTTCCCCCATTTTTTCATTTTTTGGGCAAATTCCTCAACTTTTTTTTTACCATTTTTGGGCAATTTTGGGACAAAATTGAGGCAATTCAGGATTTTCGAGTTAATTTTTGGGTTTATTTTGGGGCTTTTTAGGCAAAATATCCCCACAGGAAGGAGGCCACGCCCATCAGCACCAGGGCGTTGATATCGACCAATCGGCTCCATTTGGGGTCCTCGGGGGGCGGGGCTTCCGCCGAGGCCACGCCCCCTCCCGAGGCCACGCCCCCTCCCGAGGCCACGCCCCCTCCCGAGGCCACGCCCCCCGCTCCAGGCTCCGCCCCCAAATCTGGAATGGACAAAAAAAATTGGGGTCAAAAAAAATCCCAAAATCCCCAAAAATTTGAGGCTCCAAAAACCCCCAAAAAATCCCCCGGGACCCCAAATTTTGGGTTCAAAATCCCCAAAATCCCAAATTGGGATCCCAAATCCCAAAAATCCCAACATTTGGGTCCCAAAAATTCCAAATTCAGGTCCCAAAAATCCTCAAGATCCCAAAAATCCTCAGGACCCCAAAAGTCCCAAAATTTGGATCCCAAAAATCCCAAATTCGGGTCCCAAAAATCCTCAAGACCCCAAAAATCCTCAAGACCCCAAAAGTCCCAAAATTTGGGTCCCAAAAATCCCAAATTCGGGTCCCAAAAATCCTCAGGACCCCAAAAATCCTCAGGACCCCAAAAATCCCAAAATTTGGGTCCCAAAAATCCCAAATTCAGGTCACAAAAATCATTAAGACCCCAAAAATCCCAAAATTTGGGTCCCCAAGATGCCAAAAATCTGAAATTTTGATCCCAAAACCCCAAAACTTGGGAACCCCGATTTCACCGGACCCCAAAAATCCCTAATTTGGGTCCCAAAAAACCCCAAAATTTGGGACCCCAAAACCCCCAAAAATCCCAAATTTGGGTCCCAAACCCTACCAGACCCCCAAAATTTGGGTCCCCAAAACTCCAAAAATCCCAAATTTGGGTCCCTGAATTCCCCATGATGCCCCAAAATCCCAAATTTTGATCTCAAAACCCCCAAAAATCCCAAATTTGGATCCCAAAAATCCCAAATTTTGGTCCCTGAGACCAATGAAAAATCCCAAATTTGGGTCCCCAAGATGCCAAAAATCAGAAATTTTGATCCCAAAACCCCAAAACTTGGGAACCCCGATTTCACCGGACCCCAAAAATCCCTAATTTGGGTCCCAAAAAACCCCAAAATTTGGGACCCCAAAACCCCCAAAAATCCCAAATTTGGGTCCCAAACCCTACCAGACCCCCAAAATTTGGGTCCCCAAAACTCCAAAAATCCCAAATTTGGGTCCCTGAATTCCCCATGATGCCCCAAAATCCCAAATTTTGATCTCAAAACCCCCAAAAATCCCAAATTTGGATCCCAAAAATCCCAAATTTTGGTCCCTGAGACCAATGAAAAATCCCAAATTTGGGTCCCCAAGATGCCAAAAATCAGAAATTTTGATCCCAAAACCCCAAAATTTGGGACCCCGGATTCCCCCACAACCCAAAAATCCCAAATTTGGGTCCCTGAGACCCCTAAAAATCCCAAAATTTGGATCCCAAAAATCCCAAATTTGGGTCCCCAAAATGCCCAAAAATCCCAAATTTGGATCCCGAAAACCCCAAATTTGGGTCCCCGAGACCCCCAAAAATCCCAAATTTTGACCCCAAAATGCCCAAAAATCCCAAATTTTGATCCCAAAAAACCCCAAAAATCCCAAATTTGGGTCCCCAAAATGCCCAAAAATCCCAAATTTGGATCCCAAAAACCCCAAATTTGGGTCCCCAAAATGCCCAAAAATCCCAAATTTTGATCCCAAAACCCCAAAATTTGGGACCCCGGATTCCCCCACAACCCAAAAATCCCAAATTTGGGTCCGGAACCCTCCCAAAATTTGGGTTTTTTCCCCCGTTACCGCCAAGTTCGAGCCCCAAATTTTGGGGCTCCTTGGGCGCGTCGAGGTCGATTCGGGGCTCGCGGCTGTTCCGGAGGCTGAACACCAACCTGTGCAGCTGGAATCGGGGAAAACACCCAAAATTCGCCAAAATCGACCCAAAATTCGCAAAGATCGACCCCAAAAATGGCAAAATCGACCCCAAAAATGGCAAAATCGACCCAAAAATGGCAAAAATCCAGCCAAAACTCAGCAAAAATTAAACGAAAATTTGGCAAAATTGACCCAAAATTCGCAAAGATTGACCCTAAAAACGGCAAAATCGACCCCAAAAATGGCAAAATCGACCCAAAAATGGGAAAAATTGACCCAAAAATGGCAAAATCTGCCCAAAATTCAATAAATCCACAGAAAATTTGGGAAAATCCACCGAAAATTCACAAAAATCGACCCAAAAATGGCAAAATTCACCCAAAAATCACAAAAATAGCTCAAAAAATGGGGAAAATACCCAAAATTCACAAAAATAGCTCAGAAATTGGACAAATCGACCCAAAATTTCCCAAAATACAAAATTCACCAAAATCCACCCAAAAAATGGTAAAATCCACCCAAAATTCACAAACATTGACCCAGAATTCAGAAAAATCCACCCCAAAATTTGGCAAAATCCACCCCAAAAATGGCAAAATCTGCACAAAATTCACAAAAATCACCCCAAATTTGGTAAAAATGGTAAGGCGACCCAAAAGTCACAAAAATCGACCCAAAAATGGCAAAATCCACCCCAAATTCACCAAAATTACTCAAAAATCAAACAAATCGACCCCAAAATTACCAAAATTCGGCAAAATCGACCCCCAAAATGGTGAAATCCACCCAAAATTCACCAAAACCCCCCAAAATTCACAAAAATCGACCCCAAATCCACCAAAATCAACACAAAATTCACAAAAATTGCTCAAAAATCGGACAAATTGACCCAAAAATTGCCAAAATCCAAAATTTGACAAAATCCAGCCA